ATCAATTTTTAAAAAAAACAACATATCTCCCTCAGGTGAGAACTAAAAAACAAACACTAGCCTACACAGGGTCATCAGGAGCATCAACATCACTGTCTTCCACATCCACATCTTGTCCCACTACAAGGTCTTCAAGGGAAACAACATGCTTGGCGCTGTCATCTCCTATAATAACAGTGCTGAATTCTAAAATACCTCCTGAAGGATCTGTATTGGGCTCTTCTTGAGGAGGTGTCAATCTTCAGAAAACATGTCCACGGGGTTTGCTTGGTTTCTTTTTTCCATCAGATTTGCTTCTAAGCAAATACTGCACCATAAACATTCCTGTTAATGAAAACCTTGCAGTGTTGAGGTCCATGTTTTGAACTTTTTAAGGAGCTTGTTAAAGGTTTACAAAAGCTTTTGCTAAACCCTCCATTGTAAGTTTTCTTGGGGGAGGGGGGGGTCTTCTTTTTCCTCTCCTGCAATTTCGCTTTCTCTTGCCTCATTTTCAGCTATGTGTTCCTGTTCCAATTACAATTAACTCCTCATTAGTCAATTACTCAGGAACCACCTTTAAGAGCTGCTCAATGTCATCCTTATCCAGACAGATTAAAGTTGCTTGGCATCTTTACCACAACTTGTTGATTTTTGCAACCTCCTCATGCTTGGCAAATCCTCTGAATGTCTGCTTCCAGATGCCATTCATAACTCCTTGGTGACACCACCCCAAGCTCAAGCAAGTTTCTTGTTGCAGTCATAGATGTTATAATCCTTCCAGAATTTCATCAGTGTCTTCCTCAGCTGCAGCAAAAGCCTGGGCAAAGGTCCTCTTCAGGTGATAGGCCTTAAAAGCTACTATAACTCCTTGACCCATTGATTGCATCAAAGAGTGGTATTTGGCGGGAGATTTGATTTTGGGATGAAGATCACCAATAAAAAGAGAATGTTCAGGAGGGTTATTAGCAATACACAAAATCTTAAAATAGTACTTCTCCATTTTGCTAGCAAAGCAGTTCAGGAGAGCATCTTGGAAGAGAAGCTTGGTCATCCACGACTACTTACAGTTTCTATGGTACACTGGCAGTGTGTGCTTAATGATATGTTTCAAGATCCTGGGGTTCTCACTGTGCCAAATCAGAAAGGGTTTCAATTTGTAGCCTGCAATATTGCTCCCAAGCAAGACTGTTCTGTTCTGCCCTGACTGGTTTGGCTCAGTGGATAGAGTGTCGGCCTGCGGACTGAAGGGTCGCAGGTTCAATTCCGGTCAAGGGCATGTACCTTGGTTGCAGGCACATTCCCAGGAGGGGGTGTGCAAGAGGCAGCTAATCGATGTTTCTCTCTCATCGATGTTTCAAACTCTCTATCCCTCTCCCTTCCTCTCTGTAAAAAAATCAATAAAATATATTTTTTTAAAAATTAAAAAAAAAAGACTGTTCTGTTCTTACTGGTAAAAGCCTTGAAACTTGGCACTTATTTAGTCTCCTTAATAGAAGTAAGTCCCTTAGGCATCTGCTTCCAGAATAGGGAGGTTTCATCCATATTGAATATTTGCTCTGGCAAGTAATTTTCCTCCACAATCAGCATATCTAGAGTTTCCAAAATTTCTTCAACCTTTACATCTGTCAGACTAACTCACCATTCACTTTTTCATTATGTAATGAATAACAATTCTTGAATCATTTAAACCACCTAGAGCAGCCGTGGGCAAACTACAGCCCGCGGGCCGGATCCGGTCCGTTTGAAATGAATAAAAAAAAAAAAAAAAAAAAAAAGACCGTACCCTTTTATGTAATGATGTTTACTTTGAATTTATATTAGTTCACACAAACACCCCATCCATGCTTTGGTCTGGCCCTCTGGTCCAGTTTAAGAACACATTGTGGCCCTCGAGTCAAAAAGTTTGCCCACCCCTGACCTAGAGCTAGCAGTAAATACAACATTATAGTCAGGTCCAGGCTTTTCTTTCAAAATCGCAAACAAACTTTTTGATTTGCCTGTGATCATCACAGTGCTGAGAGGGTAGATACACTTATATGTCTGGTCATTAGAAGTTTTTCCATGTCTGTTACAAGCCCTTCTCAAATTTTTGTTAGTCTTATTGCCTTCAATGACATAGATCCTTTAACAATTTCCATCACTTTGTTCTTGTTCTTCAAGATTATATGATCAGCCTGGCCAGTGGAGTTCAGTAGTTAAATATCAACCCTATGAACTAGGAGGTCAGGGTTCCATTCCCGGTCAGGGCACATGTCTGGGTTGCAGGCTTAATCTCCAGTAGGGATGTGCAGGAAGCAGCAGATCAATGATTCTCTCTCATCACTGATGTTTCTCTCTCTCTCTCTCCCTCTCCCTTCCTCTCTGAAATCAATCAAAATATATATGTATATATAAAAGATTATATGATCACTCAATTTCATTTCTAGAGTAATCACTCAATGTGGCTGCTTAGTGATAACATTAGCAGTGGATATTTGTACACTAGAGGCCATGATGAGCAAAACAACACAAGATTAAATCAAGCACAAGAGAAAATGATGCAATCAAGAGATGCAGCCCTAGCTGGTTTGGCTCCGTGGATAGAGCATTAGCCTGCAGACTGAAGGGTCCCAGGTTCAATTCCAGTCAAAGGTACATGCCGGGTTGCGGGCTTAATCCCCAGTAGGTAGCCAATGATTCTCTCTCATCATTGATGTTTCTATTTCTTTCTCTCTCTTTCTTTCTCTCCCTCTCTCTCTCTCTCTCTCTCTCTCTCTCTCTCTCTCTCTCTCTCCCCCTTCCTCTATGAAATCAATAAAAATACATTAAAAAACAAACAAAAAAAGAGGTGCAGTAAACATGAGATGTCTAAGTCTGCTCCCAGCGTAACAGAGCATACTGTGCTATGGCAAACTTCTTTTTATGTAAAAAAAAGGTTTTTTATATAAAAAAAAGCATATACAGTATATTCTAAAATAATAAAAAGTGCCTTGGCCGGTTTGGCTCAGTGGATATAGTATCGGGCTGCAGACCGAAGGGTCCGGGTTTCGATTCCGGTCAAGGGCACATGCCCAGGGTTGCGGGCTTAATCCCCAGTGTGTGTGTGTGTGTGTGTGTGTGTGTGTGTGTGCAGGAGGCAGCTGATCAATGATTCTCTCTCATCATTGATGTTTCTCTCTCTCTCTCTCTCTCTCCCTCTCCCTTTATGAAATAAAAATATTTTTAAAATAAAAAGTATAATATAGTAAATTCATAAACCAATAGCACAGCTGTTTACTATTATTATCAAGCATTATGTACTGTGTATAATTGTGTATTATTATAAAGTGTCTTGCTTATACCAACATCACCACAAACAAAAGTAATGCATTTTTGTGCTACATGACGACAGCTACAACATCACTAGGTGATAAGAATTTTTCAGCTCCATTATAATTTTATGGGACCACCATCCTATATTCAATCTGTTAACTACAACATCATTATGTTGCACTTTACTGTGCTTTGAAGGAGCCCTGTAATGATCCTTACACAGGATAACTTACCCGGCAGATCTGATGGCTGACCTGTACTAGTATATAAAATGCAAATTCCAGAATTTCAATGACTTAATTCCAAAGGGATTTAACAAAATATATGCAAGTAATGAGTGTAAGTATATATACAATGGCGATTCGAGATATTAAAGCTGTTGTATAGTGTATATAAGCAAGCTGACAGTGCAGTGCCTGCTGTACCACCCTGACTGAGGTGAGTCACACAAACAATTTCATAATCAGAAGAGCAGACCAACACATGTTGCCAAGTTGTCTAGCAAATCATTCTTACAATGACATGATTTATAAAATGAAAGATCAGTTTTAAAACCCTTTTAAAAATAATTGTTTGGATATTTCTGTTCTTTGATTCTTATCTTCTACTATATGAAAAGAGGTCTTTAATTATGACTTCTTAGGCACCTCCATTCCTTCCAAGTGCAGATAATAAAGTTTATAAATGCCATATCTTAGAAAAAGATGGTAAACTATTAGTCTCTAGTGCAAAATTGTAATTATTCCTATTGGTACTTCTATAATACATTGATCTACTACTGATCATGGTTTACTTGTAGTATATTACTTCCTTTTGGGGAGGGGCAACTTAATCAAAATATTAGCTAAAGGTTTAGAATTTTTCATACCTGATATGGAGAAGAGCTATGACCAGGGAATGATAAATATTTCAAAATACTGCCAAAGAACAATGAAGCCCTTGCCAATGTGGCTCATTGATTAAAGCCCCAGCCCATGCACCGAAGGGTCTCAGGTTTGGTTCAGATCAGGGCACATATACCCACGGTTGTGAGTTCAATCCCCAGTTGGGGTGTGTGCATGAGGCAACCAATCACATTAATGCTCCCCCCCCCCCCTTCCCTCTTTTGAATCAACAAAGAAAACGTCTAACAGTGAGGAAAAGAACAACAAAAAGAGGCAGCCTCCCTAACCAACTCTGGTAGTTACAAGTACAATAAAACACAGAGAGACTAACTATCCATTTGAGGAAATATTTCAATATTAAAGCTATCTATAGAAAAGACTCATAGACACAGAAAACAGACTGCCGGTTGCCAAAGGAAAGGGAGGTTGGGGGGCTGGATAAAAAAGGTGAAGGGATTAAGAAGTAAAAATGGGCAGTTACAGGATAGTCACAGGGATGTAAATTACAGCATCAGGCATACAGTCAATAATATTGTAATAACAATGTATGGTGTACTTGAAATATTTGGGGGACTACCTTGTAAAGTATATGATTGTCTAACCACTATGCTGTACACCTGAAGCTAATACAGAATACCGAATGTAAATAGTAATGAGGAAAAAAATTCCAAAGTAAAAAATACATATATTAAAGTTACCTGAAGCCCCAGGGAATGTATATGCTACCTTGTACACTTTTATTTTTCTCAAGCTGCTCATTTGAATAAACAAAAAGGAGCACTTCAATAAGTGATTTCGAATTTCTGATCAAATCAAAACTTAAAGCATATCTAATAGTCTACTTACCATGAAAATCTGCACCCAACTTCTTAGAAGCCATTTAGAATCTGAAAAACAAAGAAATATTTTTTAGACTCATGATGTCTTGAGAAAATATAAACAAATCATTACAAGAAAATTGGCTAGGTGGCTTAGTTGGTTAGAGCATCTTCCTGATTTGCCAAGGTTGTAGGTTCAATCCCCAGTCAGGGCACACACAAGAATCAAACAGTGAATGCACAAATAGATGGAATAACAAATTGATGTTTCTCTCTCTCTAAAATCAACAAAAATTAAAAACTTAAAAAAAATTTTTTTAAAAAGACAGAAAATTGAAGCTATAAAAAGGAAACCAGAAGACTAAAAGGTAACAGGACTGACATAGCCCTCAAACTTCTCAGTTCCAAAGTCTCCAAAAAGAAAGCAGAGCCTGGCCAGTGTGGCTCAGTGGTTGAGCATCCATCTATGGCATGATTAGAGTCCAGGTCAGGGCACATGCCCAGGTTGCAGGCTCAATCCCCAGTAAGGGGCAAGCAGGAGACAGCCAATCAATGATTCTCTATCATCATTGATTTTTCCATCTCTCCCTCTCTTTTCCTCTCTGAAATCAATAAAAATATATTTTTAAAAAAAGACAAATTTCTGAGGTGGGACTGAATGACATACAACCTTTGTACTGTTTTAATTTTATATAAAATTTTTTAAAAATGAAGGGGGGAAAAACATAAAACCACACATCTAGCTTAATATTATCTTTGCACTTTCAACCCCTAAATAAGGAAGTAGGTGCAAAGTCTTTTCTTACACAAATACTCTCAGCTCTTCAACCTAAAGTTTATCTCCCTTGATATGGTATGGTGTTTAATTTACCTAAGACATAAGCAGAAAAAAATTAAGACTAAGTATATGAATTTATGGCATGGTATCTATTAGCCAATACTATAGCATATTGCAAGGTATCATAGTGAAAACATTTTTATTTTCCACTGTAACCTTTTTTTTTTTTTTAAATATATTTTATTGATTTTTTACAGAGAGGAAGGGAGAGAGACAGAGAGCTAGAAACATCGATGAGAGAGAAACATCGATCAGCTGCCTCCTGCACATCTCCCACTGGGGATATGCCCGCAACCCAGGTACATGCCCTTGACCGGAATCGAACCCGGGACCTTTCAGTCCGCAGGCCGATGCTCTATCCACTGAGCCAAATGGGTTTCGGCCACTGTAACCTTTTTTTAAAGTAAACATACTGTACCTATTTGTAAAAAATTACTCAAAACAGAATAAAAATCTGCAAAGGATCTTTTTTTTTAGTTTTGTTTTTTAATCCTCACCCAAGGATATGTTTTTATTGATTTAGAGAGAAAGGAAAAACATTGATCAGGTGCCTGCAGTACTCGCTCTGACTGGGGAACGAACCTGGAACCTCGGTATGTACCCTGATAGGAAAATGAACCTGCAACCTTCTCGTGTACGGGATGACGCTCCAACCAACTGAGCCACTGTCCCAATTAAGCTCCAATTAATTGATTATCTGCCACCCAACCAGAGCTTGGACTTTTTTTAAAAAAAAGAAACAGAGCCCTAGCTGGTTTGGCTCAGCGGATAGAGCGTCGGCCTGCGGACTGAAGGGTCACAGGTTCGATTCCGGTCAAGGGCATGTACCTGGGTTGCAAGCACATCCCCAGTGGGGGGCATGCAAGCGGCAGCTGAATCGATGTTTCTCTCTCATTGATGTTTCTAACTTGCTATCCCTTTCCCTCTCCCTTCCTCTCTGTAAAAATATCAATTATATATATATATATATATATATATATATATATATATATATATATATATATGAAACAGACAAGTTAATTTTAAAATTTACATGGAAAGGCAAAGGAAATATAATAGCCAAAACAATTTTGAAAAAGAAGAAAGTTGGAGAATTTACCATCAACTTACTATGAGGCTACACTAATTAAAAGACAGTGTGGAAATGGTATAATGATATTATTATACCCACCCTTAATCCATACCTTGCAATATATATACAAATTAACTGAGAAGGATGGAAAGATCCTAGCTAAGGGCTACAGGGGTTCTTTTAGGGGTGATTTTCAAAGAACCAACAAACCATAATGAAAATGATTTAACCTTTTATATGTGCAGAAGACATTCATAGGCTCTTACAGGCTCTAGAGTCATCATTATGTACATAAACCACAACAATACAGTGAGACTTTTGAACCTAGAAGCCAGATTCTTGACAGCCTGAACCTTCCCACATAAGCACATACCAAAAATGTGTTTTTTCCTAAATCTCTGATGGGAAAGAAGCAGTATCTAAGCATCCACCCATGAGAGCTGTGAATATGCTCAGGAAATGAGCATTTTCATCTTGGTGTCCTAATATTTATTGGTATTATTGGATATCATCGGTCATCAAAGAAGCAGCTGTTTTTGAGAGGCAAATGGCTGGGGAGAGGCTGCTTGAGCCCCTGATTTAATACATAATTTTGGAAACCAGATAACATCAGGGATGTTTTAAAGAAGCTCTATCATAATGAGATATCACCTCACACCTGTCTGAAAGGCTATCATCAATATATCAACTAACAAGTACTGATGAGGATGTAGAAAAGGGAACCCTCATACACTGTTGGTGGGAATGCAGATTGGTGCAACCACTGTGGAAATTTACCTCAAAAAAACTAAAAGTTACCGCCTTATGACCCAATGATTCCACTTCTGGGAATATATTCAAAGAAGCCCGAAACTATAATTTGAAAAAATATATGCACCCCTATTTCACTGCAGCGTTGTTTACAATAGCCAAGATTTGGAAGCAACCCAAGTGTCCATCAATAGATGAGTAGATAAAAAAGCTGTGGTATATTTACACAATGGAATACTACACTGACGTAAAAAGAAAGAAAATTTTACACTTTGCAACAGCATGGATGGATCTGGAGAACATTATGATAAGTGAAATAAGCCAGTCAGAGAAAGACAAGTACCATATGATTTCACTTATATGTCGAATTTCATGAACAAACTGAATTACCACACAAAACAGAGACAGGCTCATAGATAAAGAACATGGAGACAGCTCTGGGGTGGGGGTCAGGAGGTGGGGAAGGTGGAGAGATTGAACGAAAAACAGTGAACTCATGGACATGAACAACAGTGTGGAGATTGGGGCGGGGGGGAGTGAAGGTGGAAGAGAGCATAGAGGGGATAAACAGTGATGGAAAAAGTAAAATAAAACAAAATAAAAAATGTTTAAAAAAGGAAAATAGAAATAGAACCAAGATGGTGGAGTTGATAAATGCCTGTACTGGCTGCCTCCCACAACCACATCAAAATTACAACTAAAATATAAGACAACCATCTGAAACCTGGCTGAATGGAAGTCCTACAACTAGAGAAGAAGAAAGCACATTGAAACTGGTAGGAGGGGTAGAATGGGCTGGTCCGACACCCACGTGTGCCATTTTTTTAATTGGGAAGGAAATCATCTCTGAGGAGGCCACCCATGAGGAACAAGAGGTCCCGGCCCCACACCAGACCCCAGTCCAGGGTCCCAGAGCTGGGAAGAGAAGTCCCCCGCATCTACAGGCTGTAAAAACCAGCAGGGATTGTGGCTGAGTGACAAGGAGGCTGCTGAAGACCCAGGTGTTCCATTTAAAGGGCCTGTGCAAGAACTTACTTGAACTTCCAGCACCAGGTGGCTTTGGGGAACCCAGACACATATGGGGAGGAACTGGATTGTCTGGCATTGGGGCAGGAACTTGGGGGCGGCTTTATCCCAGACAGGGGTGCTCACAGGGGTCATTGTTCCTGTGCTGGAACCTCCCGTCGCAGGGCTGACTGGCAGCCGTATCTGAGTCTCCATCAGCCTGGAGCACACTGTTTGCTCTGCCTTGGTGATTCCCTGAGACCCTGCCCTATCCAATTTGCAGCCCCACCCAAGCTGTTTGTAGCAGCTTTTCCATTTGAATGGCCTGTCCTGGCTCAGGTTTCAGACTTTGCTAAAATCTCTCAAACAAGCTACAGCTGGTGACAGTGTACCCCAAACCTATCAATAAAAGACCCAAGACCTGGCACTAGCTTTGCTTCACTGCTGGGCCTCCAAGTCATCTGCAAATCCCTCTGTAGCTCTTGCCAGGTGGCCCCAGGTAGTGGCTGACTTTGCACCTCCCTGAAGGCCCTAGAGCCAGTGCGCCCAGTGGACAGCTTCAGATCATACTAGGTTACAACTCTACACATCCACAAGTGACACACTCAAGAGGCAGACTCAGTGAGCACCAAAGCCCCACTGAAGCAAGCCCTGCTCCATGTCTTTGACATTCTCACTAAGATCCTTAGAAGTCTCATGACAGGTCATAAATTGAAAGGATATTTGCAACCCATAAATTAACAAATAAGTAGTATTCAAAGTATATAAAGAATTCTTAAAAATCAATCAGAAAAAGAAACAACTCAATAAAAATAGGCATAAAACTTCACAGGAATACAAATGGCCAATGAACATCTGAAAAGATGCTCAAATTCATAAAATGCTAATAAAAACATAATAGATACCATTTCAAACACACTAGATTAGAAAAAAATTTTCAATTCTGACAATATCGTGTTAGGGAGGAAGTGAAGCAACCAAAACACACACTGCTGGCTCTTGACTCCATAAGCACAATATTCACATTTACCATGAGCCAATTCAATGACTCAAAAACTGGAAGTGTTTGGTAAGTATTAAGCAACTGATAATGACCAATCCAGAATTCTGAGAACATGTTCGGATTACTGCCAAATACAAATTTTGGCCCTTAATAAACTGGGTCCAACCTGACTCAGCAATACAAGTAAGAAAACTTTTAGTCCCTTATCCAGTTTCTCTAGCTTATTTTGTTAAGTACAAAAATAGTCATTTACTCCTAGAATACCGATGACATCTTAATTGACTAAAATTTTAGTGAAGTGCTTATCATTATAGTAACACTACTATTTCAATGAGAAGAAGGAGTTTTAAAGGACATAACTTTAAAATTAAAAAGTGCTTACACTTTAAATTTATTTGACAGGAATTAGAATGGCTCTGTGACCACTTAAAAGGGACAAAATGGTGTAATAGATGGGTATTAAAATTAGACAAATCTAACCACTTTATAGCTGTAACCTTAAATTACTTAATTCTCTGATCCTCAACACCGAAAAGGATGCATATCACAACCTGCCTACCAGATCAAACTGTAAGGATTAAGTTATGTAAAGTGTTAACAATGCCTAGCTCATCAGCATATACCCAGTGTTAGCACCTTTCCCTTTGTAAATCTTGCTACCTTCACCTAAATTTTTAAAGCCTGAAATTACAACTCTCAATTTATAGGAAAACATTACTCTTACATTCAAATTATTTTCCAATACTATAAGAAATTGTGGCTATAGGTTAGAATCTGCTCCTTACTTCTTTCTCTAACTGAAAGGCTTTTTTGTATAAGCAATTAAGATTCTGGAAAAGAGGATAAATTTTTTCACTTATCTTCATGATACAGAAGTAGGGATTCTCATGCTATATGAGAAACTAAATCCAGTTAATTTCTAAACTTCAAATATTTTTCCCCTAAGAAAAAGCTTATGTAATACATTAAGATACTATACAATACCTTATGCATGTATTGAGAAAGATTGTTTAAGGAAAATTACCTGATTAATGATGAACTGATGGTTGGTTTTATGGTTGGTCTATGGGAAAAAGTTCACACTAAAATAATCTACATGTGAAAAAACTCCAAACATTAAACAGTATCATCAGAGAACAGGAAATATTTATAATACTGACATCTACACTCTGGGCTAATGAAAATTCACCTATAATGCAGAAAATACTTGAGAGAATTTTAGTCACTGAATTAAACTTTGAAATATCATTTTAAATACCTTACTCTAGTCAAGACAAAAAGAAAAGATAAACAAGATAAAGTGACATTTGCCAGTCCTAGATAAATGTGATCCAGCAACCATTATTGAGAATTGTTTACCGACCTAATATTATTTTATCAGGATACTATGACTGTCTTCTTCAAAATCAAAATGAAAAATAAAATCTCTCAGATATACATAAAATATGCCATAATGAGGTAATGAATCAAATACAAAAGAAAAATTCAGAAAGTTCTTTTATTCACATACTTTAATTTTCTTCCTGTCTTTATTTCTAAAACTAAAGGCCCGGTGCATGAATTCATGCACGGGTGGGGTCCCTTGGCCTGGCCAGTGATGGGGCCGATCAGGGAGGCTGGCCAGCCATGGAGAGGGACCACAGGAGGTTGGCACCAGCAGCAAGCTAACCAACGGCCGATTCCGCGAGGAATTGGCTCCCTGCTCCCTCCTGTCTGGGTCCGGGGTGCGGGAGAACCAGATTTGGGGCTGTCAGGGCCCCAGCAACAAGGTCTGGGTCAGTACGCATCATAGCTACTGGCCAGAAGTCTGGTCGTTCCAGTTGTTCCATCATAACGGTCACTTAGGCTTTTATATATATATAGATATAGATAACACTTTATCTTCCAATGAGGCCATAGCAAGTTATTTGCTACGCAGTGATTGAGATGCTCACTAAAGAAACAAACTTTCCCATTTCCATAATTCTAATGACTTATTAATGCAAAAATAGGCATTCAATAAATGTTTAAAAAGTAACAGAAAGAACAGGGCAGAAAAAAAATGAATAGGATGGGTTAGAAACAAAAATTTAATTTATAAAATTCCACTTAAAGCCCTGGCTGGGTAGTTCAGTTGGTTAGAGCGTCATCAAGATATGCCATGGTTGTGGTGCATCCTGGTCAGGGCACATACAAGATACAACCACTGTCCTGGCCAACTGTGGCTCAGTTGGTTGAGCACTTGGTTCAATTCCCGGTCATGGTACATGCCCAGGTTGTGCACTCTATTCCCAGTGGGGGTCTTGCAGGAGGCAGTCCATCCATTTCTCTCTCTCTCTGCCCCTCTCCCTTCCTCTCTTTAAAATCAATAAAAAAACATAAAATAATCAACCACTGGATGCATAAATAAGTAGAACAACAAACTGATGTTTCTCTCCCCCTCCTCTCTCTAAAATCCTATATAATAAAAGCCTAATATGCAAATTGTCCTCTCAGGCAGTTGTTCAACCGGGAGTTGGACTGGGAGACCTCGACTGGGTGACCAGGAGTTCGACTGCTCACTATGACATGCACTGATCACCAGGGGTGACACAGCGCTGGCAGTGGGCAGCACCTCCTCCCGATGGGCCCCAAAGAGAGCAGGACAGCGGCAGGATGGTGGAGCAAGTGAGCAGGCGGTGCCAGGCCAAGGCCGGTGCGAGGGGGGTGGGGGGCAATCGCCCTGCCGATGACCCTGCAGACAAGGAACAGCAGCAGCACAACAGTGGCGGTAGGGGGCGGGGCTGCTGCCCAGCTCCTAGGTGCTGAGGGAGGCAGGCAGGGGGCCCAACCCTGCTCTATCGCCTGCAGGTGGGATGGTGGAGTAGGTGAGGGAGCAGCCCAGGCCAAGGCAGGGTGCCACGTGGGGCTGCAAGGCTGGAGGCATGAGGTGAATCCTGATCTCTGCAGGCTACCCCAAGGGACCCCCCCAAACCCCCACCCCCGCCACCTGTGTACAAATTTGTACACTGGGCCTCTAGCCAATAAATAAAAATTTTTTAATTCCACTTAAAAGTAAATAATGACAAATTTCAGAGAGAAGGGGGGGCAGGAAGTGATTAATCAAAGAACTTATATGCACATATGCATAACCCATGGACAGACAATAGTGCAGTGAAGAAGGGAGGTCAGGAGTGGGGTAGTGGGAGTAAGTGGGGGTTAAAAAGGGGACATCTGTAATACTTTCAACAAAAAGATAAGTAAATAAAAAAGTTAATGCAGACAATGTAATTCTTTAGACTCTGGACACTTTCAGCCCAAAACATTTGCTATAAAAATTCAGAAAGTTTCAGTTTAACTTGTTATGAGACATTAACTAAAGAGCTAGCTATCACTAAAGACTAAATGCCCTGTTTTCCCCACCACCAAATCTGATAAAATTTCTATGAAGAGAAACGTCCACTGTATCTAACCTAATTCTCAAATACTAATACACAACTGAGGATAGAGAGATAACACTCATTTAATAGTTAACTAAATTACTAAATCTGGTTTGCAACCATGGCGCCTAAAAACTCTCAAAATTTTCGGCTTCATATAAAATCTGTTTTTATGTTCAGTCATACTTTAAGAGGCTACTCTGGAATCCAGTCCATGTGGCAGGAACACAAAGGCCAGCGAGCACTGATACAGATCAAATAAATGAACTGTAACTTGATGTTCCGCAAGAAAGATCGGGGGTTGTTTCAGAGGCCCAGGTGGACTGCACAGGTAAGTCTCCACCCAAGAAACAACAAGAGGCAAAGTAAACATACCTGGACAAGGCCTGGCCATGTCAAAGGTATCCCCAAAGATCACTCAGCTGGTCTACTCCCTTTTTTCTCCCACATCTCGTCACCTCGGGAAGAACCCAATCTGCGCCGCGCGTCCCCAACTCACCCTCCACTCCACATCACTCACCTTCCGGACTCGCACCTGGGTCCCCTCCCGGGCATCCTCCAGTTCCCACCGAGCTCTCACTCCAGCAAGAGAGGCCGACGTCTACACAGCCTATCGTCCCGCACGTATTAGTCCCCTTCATCCGAATTCACTTCCCCACAACCCATCTGCCCTCCGCCCCTTCAACTCTGGCCCCTCACGCCGGCCCCTCTCCCTGAAGCCTCCCCGAGGCACGGGTCTCCGGCCTCTTCTCACTCCTACACCCTCAGCTGCGTCTCCTTCCACCCAGCTGGGCCTCGAGCCTCTTCCCCGGGTTCCCTCCCTCACCCGTATCCCGGGACCGGCGCCCTACCCCCAATGCCGCCCCTCCTCTCCCTGCCCCAGAAGGAGGCGCCTCCCCCCTCACCTGCCGCCGCTGCCGCCGCCGTCCCAGAAGCCGAAAGGTGCTGGCGCCGCCGACCTCCCACGCTCGGTCCCGCTGACGGCCTCTAGGGAGAGCGAACACCACCACCTTCCACTCTGTCCGCCCCAGGCCAGGCCGTCACCGCAGCCGAAGCCAGTACCACAGCCGCCATGTTGAAGTCCTACTTCCCTCCTCCTTCCCCTCACCGCTCCGCCCCCTTGGGCGTCTGACGTCATGACGCCTCGCTCCACGCCCCTCGGGCCAGTGGGAGGAACCGACGTGACGTAACTAATCTCCCTCTAAGTGCCGAACAGCTGCTCCTACCTGGGGCGTTGCCATTGGAATGCGTGAATCCTGCGGACCCTAAGGGAAGGCAGAAGGAAAGGGTCACTGAGAGGGGAAGGCGTAGAAGCGGATTTAGGGAGACGGGTCGGAATGCAGGGACCAGAGTTGAAGGGGCAAAGGGCAGTTGTCAGATGAGATGCGACCTCTGACCTCTTCTCGCTCCTCTACCCTCGACTGCATCTCCTTTCATCCAGCTGGGCCTCTCTAGCCTCTTCTCCTGGTTCCCTCCAAGTCAGAGGATTGAACCACTCCTGGAAGATAGGCATCTATCTGGCGGGAACCGAGAGCCTGGAAACACGAAGGGAAGCAGAAGTATTTCCCAACGAGACCTACTTGGGAATCGGGATGTCTCGCTTCTGGTCCCTGGTCACTGACCTGATGGGAGACTTAACCCTTTCTGATAATGGCTTCACTGTCCTCATTTATAAGTGAGTAGGTTGAAAGGTGACCTCGAAATCCTCCAATTCTGGCATTCAACCAGTTTAATCCAATCCCAAACCTTTACTGCCTTGTGCGTTTATTGGATGTCTTCTGGAATCAGGTGCATGGCGGATTCATAACTGAATGAGGTGAATCTTTGTTCCCAAAAGTTCCTAAATGGTGGGAGAAATAGAAGCCTCTCCTCTCAAAGTAGGAAAAGTCAGAAGGTAATAATAATGGTACATCAATGGATCTGGAAAACTTGATTTTTGCTAAGAGATTAGGAAAGATTTACATCTACACTTTCTGGGTATGTAAAGAGTGTGTACTCTCTCGTGTTTAATTCTCCAACCCTCTTTTTCTCTTCAGAACTCCAAAGGAGATAACATATGTACTTTGAAGGTGCAGCAATTTTAACTCACAATGACAGAGTTCCAGAAAGGGGGGGGGGGGGCGGAGGGGGCGGGGGTGTTAGAATAAGCAAACAATAACAAATCATGAATTCTATATTATTTGCCTACTTAATTCAACAGATAATAGACAGCCATAAAAGTTTTGTGGAGAGAGCCGTGAGCTGATCAAAGCTCTTCATCAGGAGAATTAAAATGGCAGTAGTGAATAAAGTGGAGAAGACATGGTAATCTTCTGCATTGAATAAGATACTCATAGCTGAACTAAAGCAGAAACTGGGGATGGAGACTAGGGGATGACTGGAGCAAGATTTAGGAGGTTGTCGCAACAAGATTAAGAGACCAGCTATATGGGGGAAGAAATTGTGAAAGGGGAGCCACATTTTGGGGGTCTCATACTAAGAGAAACAAGAAAGACCTAAGGTTTACTGAAGCCCTATGGGAAATAATAAGGAATTCAGCTGGCCAAAGAGGGCAAATTTTCTGGAGAGATGTTCAGGAGGGAATGTGAGTTTACATGTGTACTGTATTTGAGGACATGTTTTTATTTATTTTTATAGAGGAAGGAAGAAAGAGGTAGAAACATTGATGTGAGTGAAACATCAATTGGTTGCCTCCCAAATGTAACCCGACTGGGGATCAACAAACTCACAACCTAAGTATATGCCCTGACTCGAAACCTTTTAGTGTACAGGACGATGCTCCAGTTAACTGAGCTACCCAGCCTGGGCCAAATAAACTTTGTATTCATTCATTTAACAAGTATTATTGAGTTCCTGCAATATAGCAGGCATTGTTCTACACACTGGGAATACAGCAGTATATAAAAGAGACCCCGCCAAAAAAAATCCCTGCTCTCACAGAGCTTACATTCTAGAAAAAATAACATAATAATAATGGTAGTACTGTTAAGAAAAGGAATAAAGCACAAGAAAGAAAGTATTCATGGCTGAAATTTCTTATTTTTTATTTTTTTGTTAATCCTCACCTGAGTATATTTTTCCATTGATTTTTAGAGAAAGTGGAAGGGAGAGAGACAGAGAAAAACACCAATGTGAAAGAGACACATCAATTGGTTGCCTTCGCACACACGCTGGCCTGCAACTGAGGTACATGCCCTTGACCAGAATCAAACCCAGGACCCTTCAGTCCCCAGGCTGACACTCCACTGAGCCAAACCAGCTAGGGCCATGGTTGAAATTTATAAAGGATGGCCAGGGAAAGGTGACATCTGAGTAAAGATCTGAAGAAAGTGACACACCCTGGCCAAAAAGAACACCTGGAGGAAGTGAGGAAATAAGTCATGCAAATATTTAAAAGAAGAGAATGCCAGGCCAATGCAAGGGAACAGTAAGTATTAAGGCCCTGAGGTGGGAGCTCACCTTCTATGTTCTAAGAAAACTAAGCAGTCCAGTGTGACTGGAATGGAGTGAGCAAAGAAAGGAATAGTAGGAGATGAAGTGACAAAGAGGTAACAGTTGGCTATATCACATAGTGTCTTGAGGATAGTTTTAAGGACTTTGGCTTTTACTCTAAGTGAGCTGCAAACCATAGGAGAGTTTTGAGCAGAGAAGGGAAATGATCTAACTTTTTAGAAAAATAACTGTAGCTGCTATACTGAGCAAGAAGGGCACGTGTGGAAGCACATAATGGTTATTGCAGTAATCTGGGCAGGAAATGATAGTACTGTAGAGCAGAGTGATAGTAGCAGTGAAAGTGTTTAGAAATGGTCAGGTTCTGGGTACATTTTGAAGGTAGAGCCATAAGAATTTGCTCACATTAGCCCTGGCTGGGTGGTTCAGTTAGAGCAGCGGTTCTCAACCTGTGGGTTGCGACCCCTTTGGGGGTTGAATGACCCATTCACAGGGGTTGCCTAAATACATCCTGCATATCAGATATTTACATGACGATTCATAACAGTAGCAAAATTACAGTTATGAAGTAGCAACGAAAATAATTTTATGGTTGGGGGTCACCATAACATGAGGAACTGTATTAAAGGGTCATGGCATTAGGAAGAGTTGAGAGCCACTGAGTTAGAGGATCGTCCACACACCAAAATTTGCTTTTGGTTTCAATTCCTGGTCAGGACACATGTTTAGGTTTTGGATTTGATCCCCAGTCAAGGCGTGTACAGGAGGCAAGTGATAGATGTTTCTCTCTCACATTGATGTTTCTCTCTCTCCCCCTTCCTCTAGCTCTAAAAAAATCAATAAACATATCCTCAGATGAGGATTAAAAAAATTATTTTTGCTCACAAATTAGTTGCATGGTGTGAGGAAATGAGAGGACGCAGGATGACTTTAAGGTTTTTGACCTGAATCAAATTCTTGAAGGTTTGGCTAGAAGAATGGAAATTCAGATTAATTATAACTTCTGAGGATAGGACCCTTTGAAGCACTGACAAGTAGGGCATGGGAAGAGGAAGCAGAGAAAAAGGTGGAAAAGTAGTGGCCAGAGAAGCAGAAAAGGAATCAGGAGACTGAGACTATGGTGCCATGGAGGATTAGGAAGGAAAAACCTTTAGAGGGTTGGGCCTATGCCTCTCCTCTAGCTTGTCCCTGAGTCTAGAGACAAGCCTCCCCCATCAGACAGGGTCTTCCTGAGATTCCCCATCAGCCTAAGATTCCTGATCTAATAATATTTCTTTCCCTGCCTTTTTGCTTTAAGTGGGGACCAGGTTGCTAACTACTGACTCCTAGGCCAGCCTGCTATGTGCCACCCAGCCCCCATGGAGGCAACCCATCCTTAAGAAATAAGGGCGGGGGGGGGGGGCAAAGAAATGGGAAGGAAGTGGGGACATTTCCTGGAAAATCAAATATTTCTCCACCTTCCTAGGAGTGACTCATATGTGTCAGTTTCCAGGTATTAATCCCGGTAGTAACTCAACCTGTGACCAGAAAAGTCTGAACAGGATGCCAGTCCTCTACTAACCCTGCCCTGTGTCTGTTTCCTCCCAGTGCAACTAGAAATTGGTCTACAAATAGCATTTCAGTCCAAGGAACACCACCTCACAATCCTCCCCCTCTTTTTTCTACTCTTTCTCCCTCCTTTCATACACTACTAGACTTTTGGGGAGTCTAAGAGCAGAGGTAGGAAAGATATAATCAGCTCTACAATTTTTTATTCATGTAGCCATCCAGCATTGGCTAAGTCCTACCAGGTGTCAGGCACCATGAGTCTACAAAGATGCTCTGAGGGAGGTCGATGAGGGAATCAGACATTTAGTTGTACAGATAATGACAGTACCTGGCAAATAATCATCTAAATAACACATTCCATGGCTGAAGAGTAGAGAGGAAAGAGTATTTAGGTGGACTTGAGAAATCAAGGAAGATTTCATGGAGAACTAAGGCATTTAAGTTAGACCTTACAGAACAGAATGGAGGGTGCCCAAAGCAATTAGAACAAAGCAGTTTGAGCAAAGGCAAGGATGGAGGAAAGTTCCAGGAAAAGAAGAATCAGTAACTAGAGCAAAGGGAGCAGAGAGAGAGAAGGTTGGAGAGACCACGAGGGAAGAGGCTTGGCTTGGGTGTAACAGTCCTAAGGCTGTAGAAGTAAAGTCACTGGCATCTTTTCTCCTGTGAAATCCAAAAGAAAAGTCAGGATGAATCCTGAGAACCTTGGAGGTCAGGTTGAAACCCTTTATCCTTTTTCATAAGCTCAGGGTTACAATGAAGGACTCAGGTTTCTTGGTCACTTCTGAAGTTCCTGAAGAACTTCGTGATGACCATCAAATGAAGATGCAATTATCCTAATGATCATGAATGGATAAGGATGATTTCAGCCCTAACCGGTTTGGCTCGGTGGATAGAGCGTCGGCCTTCGGACTGAAAGTTCCCAGGTTCGATTCCGGTCAAGGGCATGTACCTTGGTTGTGGGCGCATCCCCAGTAGGAGGTGTGCAGGAGGCAGCTGATCGATGTTTCTAACTCTCTATCCCTCTCCCTTCCTCTCTGTGAAAAATCAATAAAATTTATTTTAAAAAAAGATGATTTCAAATTCCAAAAGCATAAAAATAA